GAAATTTTTATTTGAACATAATAAAATGACATAAAAGAATGATGACCAAAACAAGAGCACAAATTCAAATATATCAGCTTCTCTCTTTAGAAAATTTCCGACATTGCTTCTATGATATTTGGACCTTCTTCTTTTATAGTTTTAAAATGTAGATCTATATTTGGGTTTTTTATGTCTGGAGTAGGGATTTTGAATGTTTTTCTCCTAGTTTCGACATAGATTTTTAATTACAATGGTTTCCTATTCTCTCAAGTCTTCTTGTGAAGCCCTTGAAAAATGTATTCACTTTAAAAACCCTAATGTTTGAATTATTTTCTTAAAGCCCCTCAGTTTCTAGAATTATTTCAAATCTTGTCGGTTAACACTTTTATTTTTATTTTTTTCGAAACAGGAATATCCTACCCAGATTAGATTCCTTAGCCTAAATTAATTTAATTCTACATAACTAAGGTTCCAATACATGAATTTAATTCCAAACCCTCACTCTTTATTTAAATTTAAGAATTTCCCCAAAAAACTAGTACATGTACCCTTATACTATAAGTACCATCAATCAATTGAGATCTATACATATATATATATATATACATTGAGGAATGTGCAATTTTTGTGGCTCAAATGGCTCGAAATTGTCAAAACGACGTCGTTTTGAGTACAAAACAACTTCGAAATTGCCAAAACGACGTCGTTTTGGCAATTTCGAAGTTGTTTTGTACTCAAAACGACGTCGTTTTGACAATTTCGAGCCATTTGAGCCACAAAAATTGTGGCCCTCAACCATTGCTGTTAATTCCAAACCCTCACTCTTTATTTAAATGTAAGAATTTTCCCAAAAACTAGTACATGTACCCTTATACTATAAGTACCATCAATCAATTGAGATCTATACATATATATAACATTGAGGAATGTGCCCCTAGTATCTAAATTGATTAAAAAAAATAGCCCCATCACCCTTTCCAATGGCCAGCCACCCTAGGGAGAAGTGAGAAGCCAATTTTCAAGATTTATGATCATGGTATTCTAGAAAACCCAAAACCTAGCACCCTAGACCTAGGATATTGTTTCCAATACTAGTTTCATTTCAACTAGGAACCAACTAGATGTTGTCTAATCCTATGATTAAGTTCCCTAATCACTCCTATCCCATTAGACTCCAAGCAAATCATAACCTTTTCATCCATTTTCAACTAATGGGCTTTTATGTCTTTTTATACCAAAATTTGCCTATAGATACCACCATCCCCTAGCTTGGCAAGCACAACAACACACTCACACACACACATTCGGTTAGAAGAGAGGAAGGAGATCAAGAAAGGAGTCTTGAGAGGAATGAGAGCAAGAGAGAAGTCTTGGGAGGGAGAGGAAGGAAGAAAAGAACCATCTTGTTCAAAGCTTAGCAAGTAAGCCACAACACAACCTTCTCTTTCATTTTCCTTTTTCAAATACATGTTCTTAAGGGTTCGAAATAATGTTTTCAGATGCGTTATTGATGAGTTACTTGTGTTAAAAATGCCAAGAGTTGAGGATTGATTCTACCTCTCTTGTATCTTCCCCAATTTCGGCACAAAACCATCTTTTTTCATACCAATCTCTCAAACTTTCCAAAGGCACACTTTCAAGCAAATTTCTGAGTTTAATATATGTTAGTTATCATGTTCTCATCACAAAAGAAACGAAAATTTTCCCTTAGTGGACCCCTTTTCTCATAAATCTTCTTGTTTTGGGCATTGAACCTTAGAATCTGTTTTCGCAGCCCACTTTCAAAATTCTGAATTCATTCTAATCCTTATGTGATATTGAATCTGGAAAATTCTGTTGTGTTTGATGTCTTATGCCCTTGTGTTCATGAAAATGTTTATTAGCTTATGATCATATCTTGGCATGATATTGTATGTGTTATGATTATATTCTTTATCTTCTTCATCTTATTGATGCTTGCTTGTGTGGATACTATTATCTTGTTAAGTTGTCTAACCTTGATTTAAAACATTTAACTCAACGGAAAACTAAATTGGGATGGTATTGGGTTTTCGATCTCTTGAGTAATGAAAAGATGATAATGTGTGATGTATGGATTGTTGGGATGCATTCCCTATTCGGAAGTTTGAGTCTTGCGCAAGTGGTTTTCGGAACTCTTGAACGGAGCGGTTGTATTCGAACCCTAGTTGGTTTGGTGTGAGGAGGGATTCGGGCAAGGCCCTATTTTACCGTCTCTTTTGAGGCCCTGCGGTTGGCGCTACGCAGTATATAACCGTTGGTAGGCATCCGAGATTAGTTCTGCAACAAAGCAGCAAAAGAGGAGGCATACCGAATAATCTGCGTCCGATTCTTGTGGTTGGGAGGACGAAATCTCTTTGGGGGATTTCTTGTTTACTAACATCTAACTTGTAACCCTTTATTTATTTATTTGAGTATCATGCTTTACCACTTGATGTTATATTTCTAATTGTGTATTGGACTGGGGAAAAAGAGACGGGGTGTGTGTGTGTTTACTGGGCATTCAAAGCTCACGGCGTATCATGCCAGGTGACGAAGAGGAACTTATAGCTGGAGACGACGAGCCTGAAACCTTCGAAGACTTTTGGCTATCTTAGAAAAGTTAGAAATTTCCTTTGGTATTTCGTAAGACTCAAGTGAAAATTTAAATTTTCTTTTGGGATGTAATGTAATGGAACAAGCTTTTAAATTAAGGATATTTGTGGTTGTTATGTATTTATATTCTACGTATATGTATGAACCTTATCGTTACTTATGAGACCTTATGTCAATACCTTTTAAGATCTGTCAAAAGGGTAATGCGCTACCTAAGAAAGCTGGACTTAGAAGGGAGGCTAATTTGACTCCTCCGGCGATCTGGGATCTTACTTGGTTATTGATCATAGGACTCATTAGTGACTTTCCCTTGACTGCAACCAATAATGTAGAATCGGGGTGTCACACTTCTCCCATACCATTGTGGATGTTCTTTCTCTTTAATTCTAGCTTCTGGCAGTATCCGAAGTACAGCGGCGGTGGTGATAGAGTTGGGCAGCGGCGATGAGGATGACGTCAACGGCGACGGAAGGTGTTGATTTAGATCTTACTAGGTTTGATGCAGATTGCCTTTTCAAATTACATCTATAAGAAAATCAATAATTTTTTCTTGGATCGTAACTGATTTTTTTTACGAATTTGTTGTTTGTACTTTATTGTTTGGTGACCCTTTAAGGTCTTGCTGTTTTCTTTTTCTTATATGTTGTTTGCTTTATTTTAATATAATTGCTTTTCATGTTTTTAAAAATAAAAAAAAATAAAAAATTCAAATAGATGACATTTATTATATGAGTATTTTCATAGATCAAATAGAAATTTGCATCAAACTGTTAAAATAATAAAATTTATGCTTCTTTTATTGAGAGATGTTACAAAATAAATAAAGTACATAGCTCAATTCTAGTGGATTGTCTCAAGTTTTTTTGACAATTATAATAATCAAATGTACAGCAAGTAATAAAAATTTTAAATTTGTTACGTATCTTGATATTTTCATCAAACAAATGAATGCCGAATCATTTCCTCATAATTGTATAGTTTTTTATTATTTAAATCTCCTAAATATATTATAAAAAATTGTTAGATGTTTTTTATTTATTTATTTAAGACAATTATGGAACAAGGAAGGACGAATATTTTGACATTTTTTAATATCAATATCCTTTTAAAATATTTTTGTTCTAAATTAATTTTCAAACTGATACCAATAGTGTTTTTAAAATAATTTCATATGAATATCATTGATCGAAGAAAAATATAATGATTTTTGCAGTGCAAAAAGAAAAAGCATTAAAAAAATAAAAAATTCTAACTATAAAATTGTTAGTGCTGTAGAAAGCTCACATCATGGGCCTTACTTTGGACATCTCTCTTCACGTCCATTAGCTAGGAGTTGAGCCACGTAATAATATGCACTTTTTTCTGCCCCACGGTCTAAGAAGCCCAATTCCAATCATTTTAGAGGGACCTGAGAAAGAGAGAGACAGAGAGAAAGAGAACGAGAAAGAGACTATCCTTTTTTTTCAAAAAAAAAAATCCTGTTTTCATTTCCCAAAGTATTAGAAATTTGTTTAGCAGATTGTTCTGAAAACTATTTTATTAAAATTTATTTATGAAAACACGAAATCAAAAACGAAGAATGTGAAAAAACAACCAAAAGAGCCTACAAACTCAATTTGGTTTTAATTTCCACCAAATAATCAACATCATCTTGAGATATAAGGTTACCAAATGTTGTGTCCAAAAAGATAACAATACAAAATTCCATCAATATATCAAGACAAACACACACACACACAGACCCAAAAAAAAAATATATATATATATATAATATTTCACTAAACACTATACATGCTGAGATTATGTCCCAGATTTGTTGTAATTTTTAAGGCTAATTTGCATTGCACATTTGGTAGCTATGACTGCCTAAGGCTACATCCAAACACTGGTCCTACTGATGACATGTTCTCTATTAGCAGCCTCTCAATTAGCGCGCGCACACACAACAAATATGTATATGGCATGCAAACATCTAAGCTATTATCACACTAACAACGAACCAAACACTAGATTACACTCTGTAAAATACCCTTTGTCGAAACAAAAGTACGTGATATCATTGTCGTCGTTGTCTTGATCAAATTGTCAACATTCGATTCTAATCCTACTAAATCTTTTTTCCATAATATCCTCACTCCTCGGGTGGTACCTGCAAAAACATAAGGTATATAACCCTTAAATTACTAGCTTTGTATATATGCACACAAAATTAATGCACTCATATGAAACTGAAATTCTATCCCTAGAAATGCATCAAATAGTGTACATCATATGAGAAGTGCATTGGTGTGATTTATTGTATAAAAAGCATTGATATGGACACTGCAGATATGATACAGACAAGAAGATTTGACAATTTTCAAAAAATTAAATAAATAAAAGAGCACAAATTGAAGATGTTTTATCTAAGAGATCCAAAAGTAGAAGATTGATATGTATAAATTCTCATCCGCATCACAAATTTCCACTACCCCTTCCTCATTTCCAAAGGCCAGATATTTCCTTCTCCTAATCAAATATTGTAAAAGTTGAAGACTCGTAGCAAGGACAAAATGAGTTCAACCACAGAGAAGGCAATAATCACATACCCCGAAAGAAAGGATAGGAGAAAGTTGTGGGGCACCAACAATTTCCTCATGCTCAGCTGCATCCAATTCCCGCAAATGATTTGGATGAAAAAACTTGGGAAGAATGTATTGTCTTATGCTTATGAGAATGAAGAATGGCACGGGGAAGAGTATGCCAGCTATTGGTATCCATGTCACTCCAAAGCACACCAAAAAATATACAAACTGAAAGAGAGTGAATATCATTATGTATCTAAATGGTACCGATTCAACAAAAGAAGCATGAACCCCTTCGAGCACCCTGTCAACATACGTAGCATTTCAAATCCATGTTAGAAAAACAGGAAAATCACTGCCAATTAGAGTTGAAAAAAAAAATACAAGTTTTCAAGAAATGATTGTTATATTTCATTTTCATTGATTTCAACAAACTTACTTGTATCGCCGCCTTGGGGTAATAAAGACAAGTAACAGCCTTTCCCAGAATTGGTTTCCGGGGAGGCTGTCAATGGCCATGTAGGCAAAATAACCCCAAAGAACTGATGTAGGAATCATCTTTATTAGGGGCATAGCGCATACTGAAATGGCCACAAGGAGTGACTGTAAAAGATTGCTCACTCTTTGCTCATTAACACGGACTGGCAAATAGGCATCAATATGCTTCACTGGATCAAAAGTACCATTTGCATTTGCTCCTTTGTTTTCGCTTTCCATAATTGCCACTTTTAAGTCTTCTAGCTCTTGTACTACTGTATCCTGAAGCATTGGTGTAAAGCCATTACAAAAGCATGAAATTGCAGTAGAAAAGGCCATTTTGTCATATGGTAGTGGTCAGCAAATTAAAATTTGAGATTGCATATCTCATCAATAATTTCAAGTACGAGTTACCGAAAAAAAAAGCCTAATGCGGATTGACACATCAAAAAAGAAAACAAAAGCTATTTGTGCAGTAAACTTCTTCAAAATTTGGAAAGATTTGTTACAATGGCATGAAGACAACAACAAAAAGTCAACAAAATGCTTTAACAGTGAATGTTCAAAAATGCAAGTATTATGTTGTAAGCAGCAGAACTCACTATAGGAGAGTTGTCCATTTCTATAAACACGGCTTGCATATTGCCATAGATTTCAGAGTTGCTCGCCTGCTGCTTGATGCTTTCCTGGGCACTTTCAACCATCTTCTTTCGAATCAACTGCAAATCATGAAACAGAATATTTAAACCTTATTTGCATCTCCAGTATGTTTGGTCATGATCAAGAATTACTAACTCAACAAGTAAATAATTCCTCCATTTTTTTTATTTTTTACATCTACCTGCCGTTTGAGATCAGCTAGGCTTTTGGTGTGCATCGGAGACTGTGGGATGACCCCATTTGAAGGAGGAAGTCCAATCAGTCCACAAAGCAAAGTCTGATAACACATAAATTAGAAGAGAACATAAGCTGTAGGTAAAGCAAAGCAGATAAGAACAACTGCTAGGAATAGAGTCCAATTGTATATACCATGAATCCCAACAACAAGATGTCATAATGGTAAGCAGAAGGATTCTTGAGATTGAACTCCTTTTGTTGCGTCATCTGTGAAGCAACGCTGTGGTCAAAGAAGTAAAGCCCTGCCATCATTACAGCTGGAATAAAGGCAGCAAAGATGTAAGCGAGAGGAACTTTGGCCATATCCTGCAGTTATGGTGTAAAAACAATCATCTGGTGTACAAAATGTTCAGAACGAATAGATAACATTTGGTTAAAGAAATAGATTAAAAGGGGACTTGATGGACAGTCATAGATTGGTTGGAAGCTCATGAAGGCCATTATTGGGTTTGGATTGGTGGCATTATTCTCCATTAGGCCTACACTATATAGCCTATAGAGCTTTACCTTGATAACAGTCCAATGGTACAAAGATGCAGATTCCCAAGGAAGAGGGCTAAAGAGCCTTCTGGGAACTCCAGATGGAACTTTGCTCGGCACACTAAAAGACAGCGCTGTCCACGCCACGACCATGAGAGGAACTCCATAGTCTGCGATGAAATCTCTGAGCCATCCTGCATTGCAGCACAAAAAATTTTGCATCAGATTTCCTGTGAGAGGCCTTTCATGGGGCGCCAGCCTTGGACTGAAGTTTTGGAGGTATTTATTGTATTTTCCGGCTGGTTTTCAGTGTGAGCGTGTGACAGTGTTGTCAAACGGTTGAGTTAGGCCATTGCCGAGCCACCTATATCTTGTGTTATGTGTGATTGTTTTTTACTGTTTTGTGATTAGAACCATTCAATTTGGGCAAAACAAGCTAAATGCAAACAATGGTAATAATATAACAAACCTGTGCCATATTTCCATGACCTTGCCGTTCTGCTCCTCAAGGCAGTGTAGAGAAGGCCAAAACAAAATATGATTCCCAATAGTCCATTTGTGTAAAGCCACTGGAATTGATTCTTTCTTAATGTTGGATCTTCAGATTTGGAAGTTTCAAACTCACTCACCAATCCCTGTAATTCATATATATACTTGTTAAAACTTAAAAACTTTATGTTAAGCCACAAAGAATGTCCAAGTTGATTTGTTTTTCTTCGCTAGAATACCTTGATAGCCTCTTGGATGAAAAGAACAGCAATCAACATGCCAAATAGTTCCCCTGCAATCCTCGTAAATCTATTGATGATAGCACAAGCATTGAATATCGCAAGAACGAACAACATCAGAGCTGTCCACACACAAACCCTGTAAAAATTTACAGTAAAATAAAAACATAAAAAATATGACAATCAAAAACTCAAGTTTTTGTAAAATGGGAAAGTAAATTTTACAGTACCATCCAGCCCATGCCAAGAACAATTCGCGTCCCAAGTCATTCCTTCCTTTAGCAAAGTCGTAAAAATATGTGTACATGATGACAGTGGGTTCTGCAACTCCTAATATTAAAAGAGGTTGTCCGCCAAGTATCGAGTGTATGATGCCACATATAGCAGTAGAAGCTAAAGTTTCTGCTGTACTTAAACTTCCATCTAAGAAAAAGAACAACCAATTATCAGGGCTCATTTGGTTAATCTGTCTGAATAGCTTTGAACCCATTTTTCACAAACTATATAAAATATTTAATATACAATTAATGACAACCCAAATTAAAGTTTCTGCCATGTAAGAAAAAGAAAACTATCCAAATCAGTTTCAACACGTTTTTCACAAACCATATAAATTATACAATCAATGACAACCCAAATTAGGATTAAAATTTTTACAGTAGAAACTTTTTTAGTTTATACCTTACACAAACTTCCATCTCAACCTCCAAAAAGAGAAATAAGAAAGATCCATAAGAATGCACATTTCCCTTTTCTTCTTTATTATTTTCTCTTGAATTTAAATAATTACCAGAGTAAAAGACCTAAATTTTCAGTAATTACACACCATAAATTTTTCCACATGCAAATCTTGTTGAAGAGAGAGAGACTAGATGAACACGACCAACCTGTATCTCTGCACAGTTGCTCCCCAAATGCAATAACAGGAAGAGCAGAAGCAAAGAAGATATATGTAGTTGGAGCCAAAATCCTATCATAAATTAAAAGAAAAGATTAACAAATAAAAATTTATTCCCAATTGCAAAGCAATACAATTCAATTATCCAATTTTAACTCCGTTCATTTGAACCTGAAAATAGAAATACCCGAATCCAGAACGAATGCCACCAATCCAGTCTTTCTTATAGCACGATAATCTTCCTCGGACGTCCTCTGCAATACCCTTTAATGGAGATTTGATGCTCTCCATTACTGAAAATAATTATAGCACGATAATCTTCCTCGGACGTCCTCTGCAATACCCTTTAATGGAGATTTGATGCTCTCCATTACTGAAAATAATAATAATAATAATAAAAGAGAATGAAATCTGTAACCTTGAATGATCTACAAAACCAATAGAATCCTAGTTTTGTTGTTTAATTTTCAAGGGTGGAAAAAAAAAAAAAAAAAAGAGAAATTGATAACTTATGAATATTTGAAAGAAAATGATTGTAGTGTGTTGTTCAAACAGTAATTCATCAACAACAAAAAAAAAAAAGGTTCATTAAACAGATTAGTATAAAGAATAATGTCCGTTCTTTTCCTCATTTTTTGATGTATTTCTTGTACCATTTAATTCATCAATATAATTTTATTTTGCCGATCAAAAACAGAATGCTAAAAAACCCAGTTGGATTATATGGTGTTGGTGTGAAAGACAAGAACAGACACCTGCAATTCGCCGGAGAATTCAGGCACTTTGCCGGGAATTCGCCGGAAATTCCAATAGATTATCACAATAGTCACTGAACAATGAGGCAGAGCCACAGCTCCTCTGGGTCTTTAAAAAGACCCGCGCTCGTGTGGGTGGTCCTCACTATGGGCTCCAATTCTCTGAATTATTTAGGTAATTAGGTAATTAAATTAATTTTAGAGTGTATTATGCCTCGGTTGTATGGGTGTGAGTTCAAACTCCCTGTGCGATATTTGGGGTGATCCTCTTTTACTTTCTCCTTAGATCTAAGCTAGTGTAGATTTTGACCAAAAAATTTTAAATTTTTTTTTTAAAAAAATGGTAAATGTAATGAGATGAGTAATGTGACAAATAAATTAAATTTAGTTGAAAATTTAATGATATCAAAATATATTAAATTTGTTTTTAGTCTTCCAAACTTTAGTTAAATTGATTTGATAACAATCAAAGGTCTAGTAATTTGGGATTTTTTTATTTTGTTAAAATTACTTAAGCTTATCAAATCAAATAATCGAATATTTAAATTTAACTAAAAATTTAATTATTTTTAATTTGTATTCATACCTAATTTGGTTATAGGACAAATTGCTTTCATAGTCTTTGTAATTTGCCTATTATATGTCAATTTGGTTTTATAATTCTAATTGCATCAATTTTATTTTTAAATTTTGTATATTATATCAATTTAATTCAATTGATAAAGACAATTAAAAAATCTGAGGGAAATATAACTTTTAATCAATTGAACTAAATAACACTGTTGGTGCATAATTCTATGCACATAATATTTGAGAGTTCATTTTAAAATAGACACCCTCACTCTAAAAAAAATTGTGTACCATATGCAATGGATCATAATTTTTTTTTTTACAACATAGCATTTAGTATATTAATCGTTAGATTACATAACAGACCAACGTCTTTCCACAAACATCCAGGGTCCACAATGGGTCAAAATAAAATTTCACAAAAGTCATAACTGGACATATGATACATACTCTAAAACGGAATGTATATTATAAAATTTCTCAACATTTTAATATTAAATATTAGTATTACCTTTTTTGCTTTTCACTCATCTGTTAGGATCACATTCAGTGAATTTATGCAACTGTTTTGAAGAATTGAATAGAGACTAATAATGTATTGTGGTGAATTGATTAGATGAGAAACTGCAATAAAAATTGATAGGAACCGATGTGAAAATTTACTCAACCCATTACTCTTTATGTATTGATGATTGATGATAGAGATATTTGAATGACTTTGGTTAACCACTGAATTATTGGATTCATGCATCACACTGGAATTGTTAGGCTATTGCAGTGTATATATATTACATATATAGGTTTACCAAATGTTTGGCAGTGCACCCTAAGTAAGAGCTCTAAATCAATTTACCTCTATAGTAGTGTTGTGTTCTTATATAGATTATCATCTATATACGTGTTTTTTTCAATAGAATTTTGGACTTTGCTAGCATTTGTGTGGGGTTGGGTTAAGTTAACATAGGTATTAATCGGGTTATTATATTTTGAAGAAGATAGGCCATATGAAATGTTTTGCTGCATCGTGTATGGCAATTTTATCAATTGAGAGTATTTAAATCTTCTTAAAGAAAGTGAGAATATCGCATCTCAGTTTACACTTGTGTGTATCAAATTCTTTGGAGATGTGATGTATTTATTGTAATTTTAGGAAAAATTATATTATAGTCTTACTCAGATTCCATCGTTGATCTCGATATACAAGTTTGCTTGGAAGATTTCCAAGAAGGGTAAACATCAAACCACTAGTGGATTTGTAGTCCTTTATATCAGATATCCAGTTAGCATCACTATATCCTTCTAGTATCGCTGGATATCTGGTATAATACAACTTATAACCCCAGGTGTAGCGTAGATAACGTAACATCCGCATAATGCCCCTCCAATGAGTAACATTCGGATTACTCGTATATCTACTAAGCTTGTTAACAGAGTAGGCTATATCCGGCTTTGTAAATGAAATTTTGAAAAATTTAAAAACAAATGATAAGAAAAGAAGCAAACCGAAGCCTACACTAAACAGTTTTCTTAAAACACATTCACCACCTCCCGATGGATGCTAGAGGTACGCCGATGTCTGTCTCCCAGGATACGACAGTTGAAACCAGCTAATGCAAAAGCACCTTTTGAATAGTTTCGGTGAACTTGACAATGGTTACACTCTCTCTAGTAAGAACCAAAGAAAGGGCTAGCAAAAGAAGATAGGGGGAAAAAAAATTGGTGAAAAAAAACATCTCCAACTTTTTTATCTCAAAACACCATCTCTATTTTCCATAAAAAATCTCTACAAAATTATCTCCCAATTTAGAGAGGAAAGGCCTCTATTTATACAAGTAGGGGAATCCCTAACCATGAAGGCTATACATCAATAGGGCCATCAAATGCCATTAACCAAGGCCATCAACTCTAGCCATTAGGGCTAGAGTTATAAAGGTTGAAAACTTATGACCACTAATATGGTCATCAACGCCATCATCAAAAGATTAGAGTTACAAAGGTCTAAACCTTCCATGTGCTTAATATATACAAATAAATATGTATATAATGATGGTTGAATTAACCAACTAGATGGGTCACAAAATGAATATTAATGTTGGGTCACAACTCGATCCAAGCCCAATTCTCAAACACATGCACAAGCTAAGCCCAACACAACATAGCTTAGCCCAAGCTCAACATTAAGTCAAAATCCAAGTCCAACTCCAAGACCAAACCCAACATATGCACAAGCACAAGTCTAAGCACAAGCCTAAGCCCAGTCCAAACTAAGACTAAGTCCAAATCTAAGCTCAGCTTTATTGATGTCCACTTTATGAGACAATTCTCATTCATAACTTAATGGTTTCAGCTCATTATTTTTGTATAGCAATATTCTCACTTAAGAGAACACAAAATCACTCAGACCCACCTCAACCGATGTTTGGGTCCCACTTTAATTTCGAATTAAAGTTGCCGAAAAACCATTATTTTCCAACAATCCCCCACATGAATAAAATTGGCCGAATAAAGAAAAACGGACAACGCTTTACAACACAGACTCAGAGAGAGAGCATATAGAATAATCCTACATTAGAAAAGGTAGCTGTTGGCCTCAAACCTTTCGTAGTGAAAGCCTATCGAATTTACTGGCTAACTACTTATGCAAGATAAAGTTAAATCAATTACTTATTGCTAGAGAAATTACAACTTCAAATAAGCTTTTAGCCTCACTGGCCACCATATAGGTTTAAGAAGATTAGACAAAAGAACTTTAAAGTCCTAGTCTTTTAACATCTTCTAGGCTCATCTTTTTCTCCTCATGAAATCGTTTCCTCAATTCCATGATGACATTCTTGTGTAAATTTGAATATCAGATTTGTCCACAAGAAAACCGATATGCACTACTATATTGTGCTTAACCGTTGAACACAAAGTCAATGGGTTGTTAAGGCTATTCTACAAGCACTGTAACTGGCCAGTAATCCGAGATTACCAAAGGCCTGCTTAACAGTCAGACAATAATACAGAGTACAAGGGCATGGCGGAAGCCAAAACAGTAAATAAACAATGTCCAATGAGCTGTGAGTCTGTCTGCAAAAAGATTTTTCATACGTATATGCATAAACAATACAGAACAATATGTACAACATTTACAGTTCTCATTCATAACTTAATGGTTTCAGCTCATTATTTTTGTATAGCAATATTCTCACTTAAGAGAA